GGCTGGAGTGCAATGGCACAATCTCAGCTCACTGCAGCCTCCACCTTCTGGGTTCAAGTGATTCTTGTGCCTGGTAGTAGCTGGGATTACAGGTGCCTGCCACCAAACCTGGCTAATTTTTTGTATTTTTAGTAGAGACGGGATTTCACTATGTTGGCCAGGCAGTCTCGAACTCCTGAGCTCAGGTGATTCACCCACTTCAGCCTCCCAAAGTGCTAGGATTACAGGTGTGAACCACCACGCCGAGCCAGCTTACAGTCTTTTAAAAAAAAAGCGTGTAAAGGGAAAGCATCAGGAAGAATAGCTAAAGCATGCTGGGCTTAATATCTAGGTGATGGGTTGATAGGCGCAGCAAACCACCACGGTACACATTTACCTATGTAACAAATCTGCGCATCTCGCATATGTACCCCAGAACTTAAAAAACAGTTTGTTATTCAACTTGGCCACCACTGACTCCTGTTCTCTCTGCTTCTCAAGTGGCTTCATTTAAGGGTGACATATTATACCATGTGTTCTGAGTATCACCCCTTACTCAGTCCTCAGCAAAGGACTCTGTTCACCTGGAGAAAGGTGCCTTTTGCTAATTATTCTAAATACATCTGTTGGGCAATGTGTGTTGGGAATACTATTAGATAAAATGGTTAGGGAGATGAGGCCTCTCTGAGGTGATATTTGAGTTAGCAGTGACAAGAAGAAACCTACCAGGAAAGGATTAAGGTGAAGCGTGCTCTGGGTACAGTGGACACAGAGTACAAAGATTTAATCAAGAGTCAGCAAACTTTTCTGTAAAGTGCCAGACAGTAAGTCTTTCAGGTGTTGTGTGAGCTACTGCTCTCAGCTGCAGCTACTCAGCTCCGCTTTACAAGGCAAAAGTAACCAGAAATAAACAGATGGGTGGTGGTATTCCAACAAAACTTTACTTGTGGATATAGAGATGTGAATTTCATGTAATTTTCACGTGTCACAAAATATTCTTCTTTTGATATTTTCCAACCATTTAATTTACATTTTTAATTTTTGAATTTTTAGCAGAGACAGGGTCTTGCTTTGTTGCCCAGGCTGGTCCCAAACTCCTGGTCTCAAGTGATCCTCCTGACTCCGCCTCCCAAAGTGCTGGGATTACAGGTGTGAGCCACCGCGCCAGGCTTCCAACCATTTCAAAAGGTAAAAACCAATCTTAACTATGGAGCTATCGTTTGCTGATATAACGTCAGTTAGATATGCTGGGGTCAGGCCACGCACACCCTTGTAGGACATGGGAATACCCAGAATTAGGCAAAGGCCCTTTCCCCCTCCAAACGCAAAGCCATCAGGGCGGGGCAGAGGCAGCTTCCTGCAATTCACGGAAGATCATCAGGTTCGTTTTATTTTTTCCCCAGTAACAAGAAAGGACAAACGAAAAAAAGGCACGCACACACCCGAGCCAAAGGCAGAGAGGACCTGCCCAGGTTCACGCCGACGCCTCTCCAGCGCGCACTGAGGGTTTTAAAGTTGGGTGCACACCTGCTCCCACTGGAGCGCACCTGCTGAGCTGCTCCCCGGCCCGGTCTCGCGAGAGCGGTGCTGGAGTAGTGGCCCCCACCCGCTCCCCGCCCCAAATCCCTCTCCCCGCCCCCTCACCCAGCCTCCACGCTCGGGCACACTCCCTGCCTCCTCCACCGCCCCCGGGAGCAGGCTGGGCCCGAGGCGCGCGCTGTCCCCGCGCCCCCGCCCGCCGATCGCTCGCTTGCTCGCTCGCACGCACTCCCGGTAGTAATTTCACTTTGCCACGCGAGCTCCGCAGCCCCTAGAAATCCCGCCCCCCGGCCCTGTCCCCGGCCAGGTGCGCGAGCTTGCGCGCTCCTCCTCCGCCTCCTCCGGCGGGTCCCTGGCGCGCAGGGGCCGGGGCCCGGCTGGGGCGGCTGCGCGCACGGCGCCTCTCCACCAACCCGCTCCCCTGCAGGTCCCTCGCTCGCTCTCCATCCCTCTCCGGCGCTCCCTCGCTCCCCCCCGCCCTTTGATTGACAGGCAAGATGTCGGTGTGGAGCGAGGCAGGAGCGATTGCAGCAACCGTCACTCCCGGAGCCCGGCGGCGGCAGCAGCAGCAGCGCGGGGAGGAGACAGCAGCCAGCCGCAGTAGCCGCCGCAGCCACGGGAGCAATGCAGACAGCACCTTGAGAACGCGCTAAAGCACTCCCAACCGTGGACCATGCCGTGTCCCTGCAACTGGGAGGGGGGCAAACCAGATTTTTTTTGACATAAAAGCCAGCCAGCCAAAAATATATAATTTTGTCCTTCAAGGAGCCGGTGTGTAAAGAGTGAGCGCTATTTTCCTTCTCCTCCTCCTCCTCCTCTTCCTCCTCCTCTCCTTCTCCTCCTCTTTTTCCTCCTCCTCTTCCTCCTCCTTCTCCTCCTCCTCCTCCTCCCTAAGTGTACAGACAGCATCACATCACCTGGTTTGCTTCTGAGAAACAGCATCTGTCCTTTTCAGGGACCAGAGACTCAGAGAGAGAGGAGACATTCTAATGGAGTCCGCTTGATACCCCAAAATAAAATAATAAATTTTGGCTCTTGTCCCCTCCTCCCACTCCCACCCCCTCAACCCTGTGTGAGATGTTGGATTTCTTCATGAGACATTGTTGAGGAGTCGCAGTGGTTGGAAAGGCGGAGGGGTAGGCTACCTCTACTCCCCCCCCTTTTTTCTCTCTGGGAGGAGGAGGAGGGGAAGGGGGTTGCAGAGCAAGCGATGGATGAGGAAAACATGACGAAAAGCGAGGAGCAGCAGCCTCTGAGTTTGCAAAAAGCCTTACAGCAGTGCGAACTGGTCCAAAACATGATAGACTTGAGCATCTCCAACCTGGAAGGGCTTAGGACCAAATGTGCTACCTCCAACGACCTCACACAAAAAGAAATCCGGACCCTGGAGGTAGGTGTTGCCTACGGGGGGCGGGGGGGAGGGAGAAGCAATCCTTCTGTCCCCCTCCTTTCTCCCCACGGTCCCCTTTCCCTCAGATTCTGTTTATTGGGGGCTGGGGATGGTGGTGTGGGCAAGCAAGGTGAGCACGGTTTGCTTTTCTGTGATTTCTCCCCTTGCAAAGCCTGCATTGGATTTTCTTTTCCTGTGCTGCTGTTGTCTGCGCTTGGCTGGGTGGTGTAGTAGTAGTAGTAATTGTTATTCTTTATTTATTATTATTGTTGCGGCTGTGACTGTTACCATTCGCTTCCTCGCTGAGGAGGGAGTTCTCTCTTTTTTCCGCTTGTGGATTTGTTTATATGCCACGGGGGCTTGTGTGCGGGGTAATACATTAAGGAGCTGCAGAGAACCCACGTGACCTTGCGCATTCTGCAGGTGGTCAGAAGGTGGTTTTTGCTCGCAGAATGGAGCCGCTGTCAGTGTAGACCTCTTCTCTCGGCCTTCTTCCCCGCCCTCCTTTTGCTCCTTAGTTTTTTTTTTTTTTTTTTTCCTAACTCGGTGATATACATGTCAGGAGGCAAGATGCATGAAAAAAAAAAAAATCCCCGTGGAGCTACCCATTTCCAGTCAAATCGTTTTGATGCAGTGAGCTCTTGCAGGCCTAAAACGTATAAAAGGAAAAAAAAATATGCCTCAATCAGCATACATAGGTGGTGTGGGAGAATACTCCTGAGTCTCAGTGGGACTGCGAGGAAAGAGGAAAGACTTCGGCTTCTTGTAACATTCTCTCCGGCAGAACTTGAGGGGGAGTTTGAAACAGTTTTTTGGGGGAGTGGGATGGGATGAGGGATGGATGCAAAGTTACTCAGAAAGAAGATGGCAGAAATTATTTTTTTCTGAAGGCCATTTGGTCAAAGGAGGAAGGTTTAAAGAGCCTCAGGAAATGCCAGATGCCTGGTGTCCACGATATCATTGGACATCCTCATTGTTCAAAATGTTTGAAGGGTTCAACTCACTTCCTTGTCTCAAACCGACCCAGCTGTACACATGGGTTGATTAAATTTGGGAACTCCCATTAGCTGGCACGTGCCGAGGGTGGGGGCAGTGGGGCTGGGAGAAACGGGGTTCCCCCTGTGGTGGAGTGGGTATCAGTAGTGCTGACACGTTCGTCTTGCTTCTGGCACGTGAGTTTCCAAGCCCTGAACTCGTGAATCTCTCTAGTGAATCTTGCAGCCCTCCTGCCCCTGTTCTAGCCTGGATGGATGCTTTTCTTTGATTCACTTTTGGGTCTTTCTTTTTCTTCTGTGATTTTAAATTTGCCTGGATGTCAACATGCAGGAGGTCATCCCTTTGAAAGGAGGGGGGGGAGAGAGAGAGAGAGAGTGAGAGAGAGAGAGAGAGAGAGAGGGGGAGAGAGAGAGAGAGAGGGAGAAAATGCTGTTTGCTACCCTAGGAAACATGTCTGTGTGCACCTGTCATCTGGAAATATGATCCTCAGGGACGAAATAAGATCAATGTCAAGGTGTATCGGGAGAGTGGGAATTGCATTGGGAGGCACAGGTATTGCCTTTCCTGGAGCTTGGGAGAGCAGGTAAGGCTGGAGCTCTGCTGCTGGAAGAAAAAGTGTGGCATGTTCTGATCCAGCCTTCTGTCTCTGCCTGAACAGGGCCAAGAGCAGATTCTTCAGACCTGCATGCAGTCAATAAATAATCCCACAAAAGTTACCTGAACTCCCTTCTGTTCCTCTGAGTCAGGAGTCCCAAATGCTAGTTTGTGCATTCCTGTGTAAGTTTCTCTGAAGTTTCTCTTTTTCTTGTTTCAAACATACTCCATCCTCTGATAGCTTCCTGGATGGGGATGTGCCGCAGTGGGCATTGCCTTCTTTCTGCATAGTGGTTTTCCTTTTAAACTGGGGGGATGGAGGCGTTGGTAGCATGGCTGTGGGGGAGTTGCAGTTGTAGCAAATGCATCTGTTTTCAGTTCCCTCGTCCTAGTATGCTACAGAGCATGCCAACCACTTTCATCCATCTTGCCCAGGGAATAATCTTGAGCAATTATTCCAATTTCTATTTCCCAGATTTGTAGGGCCAGGGAAGGTTGCAGAGGGGCTGGTAACTCAGGGTCCCACCAACTCGAGCCAACCCCAACATTTGGGTCCATGGAGTTTTCTAATTTTGTATATCAGAACCATATGAGGGTGCTTGTTAAAATGCAGATTCACAGCTTCTAATTCCAGAGATTCTAATTTAGCTGGGATTAGTGAGAGGGCCAAGAAATCTGCATTTAATAATCAGTCCAGGTATTTCTGATATGTGTTTTCAAATGGACACTTTGAGATGCTAATCCATTAGGAGAAAGATGTGATATTTCAGCTATTTAACGGTGAAATAGCTCACTGCTTGCTAACACTAATGCAATTAATAAATCAAATAGACTATCCCTGAAAACAGGGATAATAAACAGCATTTACTAGCATATGCTGTAGAAACAAAAATATGCAAGGTGGACTTGGCCTTCAAGAAACACATTTCATGATATAATAATGTGTATGTGAAATAATGGCAAAGTCCAAGTGGTAAATAATACGGGGGACAGCGTGTGGGCCCATTAGGAATGCGTTCAGCTGCATAAAATGGAAAACCCAATCATAATGGTAAAGCAAATAATGGTTTCTTTTCATGTAACAAGAATTCTGGAGGTATACAGCTTCAGTTGGCTCAGCAGGTCAATAATACCAGGACGGTTGTCTTTGGGAATTCTCATGGCTTTTATCTTGTGCTTGCAAGATGGTTCCTGCAGCTTCAGTGATTACATCTGGGTTCAAGGTAGAAAAGAGGAGGACTTGGTGATTGTGAAGGAATAAAGGGTTCCCCAGGACATCTCTTCCTCCCCACCTTGCAGATAATATTTGCCTATATCTTCTTGGCCCGAACTGAGTCCTAGCTGCAAGGGAGCCTGGGAGGTGGGGAAGAGAGAACAGCACCACGGTCGGCTTAGATGGATCAGGATCCATTGCCTGGAATGACATGTTGCCACTCCATGCAAAATCAGGGCTCTGCCAGTGTGGAAGAAGGCACAAATCAATATTAAGTAAGTGGGCAGCCAGCGGTGGCAGCCATGGGATATTATCAGAAGATATTTTGGTGGAAAAGAAAGTTCATGAACTTGGAGTCAGACTGATATAGCTGTGAATTCTAGCTTTTCTCTTTACTTTAGCTTGGGCTAGTGGTTTAAGTTTTCTGATTTATAGTTTTAAGTTTTTGGCAAAACAGCAATAATTAAGTAACATTACCTTCTTCAGAGGATGTTATAAGGATTGAAAGAACTGATGTTTTCAAGGGTCTAGCACTATCTTGAACAGAGTGGCTGCAGGTGCTGAATGAGTGTCAGCTGTGCTGATGATCACGATTGGCATTACATGGTGTTGGCTAGATGACGTGGAAGGGAGCAGTTCAGATCAGAGAGAAGGAGGAACTTGAGTGGCATCTCCAAAGTATGTTCTGTAGAACCCCAATTCTGTGGGATGTTAGCGTTTTTCAGTCTTTCAACAAATGCTGATATCCAGGCACTGTACTTAATGCTGGTAGTCAATAAGTGTTCTGTGGACAAAACAAATTCTATGGTTAAGAAGTTTGGGAAGGGTTGTGTTAAGCACAGGGAAACAGGCATCTTTACTGCAGGACTTCTCAGAGCCTTTAATATGCTACCTATGTGTATTAGCCCTTCAAGAGAGGATAGAACGGAGTGTTGCTCTGTCGCCCAGGTTGGAGTGCAGTGGTGCAATCTTGTTTCACTGCAGCCTCCGCTTCCTGGGTTCCAGTGATTCTCTTGCCTCAGCCTCCCAAATAGCTGGGATTATAGGCATCAGCCACCACACTCAGCTAATTTTTGTATTTTTAGTAGAGCCAGGCTTTTGCCATGTTTGGTCTTGAACTCCTGACCTGCCAGCCTTGGGGTCCCATAGTGTTAGAATTACAGGTGTGAGCCACCACACCCGGGCCGAGGATTTCTCTTGGGATTTTTCTATAGAATACACCTGGGAAAACATTTGGCCACGCAGGGAAACCTTCACTGGGGAAATGAGGATTTGGAGTGGAGTGAAGGATGAGGAGGGTTTGGATTGCAGCAAAGGGGAGGAGCTTGCTAGACAACAGCAAACCAGATGAACGTATTAGAACGCCTTCTTGGGGCAGCTTAGAGACCATTTTGTCCAGAATGGAGAGTACCTGGTAGCCTGTCACAGGAAGTGAATTTAGGCCACTGACTTCTGGGATCCAACTAAAGATTAGAGAGTCAGACCAACCAAGTTTCATCCCTTTGAGGAAGGAGATAGAAATCTTCAAAGGTTTTGGAATGAATACAATAAAAAAGTATTTACATGTTTATTTGTTTTTTTTTATTTTATTTTTATTTTTATTTATTTATTTTTTTTTTAGAGACAGGGTCTCGCTATGTTGCCCAGGCTGGAGTGCAGTGGCTATTCACAGGCGCGATCCCACTACTGATCAGCACGGGAGTTTTGACCTGCTCCGTTTCCGACCTGGGCCGGTTCACCCCTCCTTAGGCAACCTGGTGGTCCCCTGCTCCCGGGAGGTCACCATATTGATGCTGAACTTAGTGCGGACACCCGATCGGCATAGCGCACTGCAGCCCAGAACTCCTGGGCTCAAGCGATCCTCCCACCTCAGCCTCCCGAGTAGCTGGGACTACAGGCACGCGCCACCGCGCCCGGCTATTTGTTTTGTTTTTTGAGGCAGGGTCTCTCTCTGTAACTCAGGCTGAAGTGCAGTGGCACAATCATGGCTCACTGCAGCCTTGACCTCCAAGGCTCAAGTGATCCTCCCGCCTCAGCCTCTTGAATAGCTGGGACTACAGGCGTGGACCACCACACTTGGCTGATTTTTTGTATTTTTAAAATAGAGACAGGGTTCTGCTATGTTGTCCCAGGTGCTCTTGAACTCTTAGGCTCAAGTGATTTGCCTGCCTTGGATGGCAGCCTTTGGCAGGGGCTG